ATCGATTTTCCTTTTCTGCTCCTCTCTCCCTTGTGTTTGACACCTCTTCCTTCACTCTGCCTCTTTCCCATAGCGTGCAAGTGGGCTGTTATGGCATACGGGGATGGGGGCAGCTCGCGCTCAACTTCATCAACGTGGCGAGCCTTGTATGTTAGAGGCACAGTGGAGGAGGCGTTAAGAAGACTGAGAAACTGAATGATTTCAATGTGTCTTTGTTTTTGATTTTTATCCTTTGATTCAGTGTAAATATTTTTTGTAAAACACTGAAAGAAATAATAATACTGTGAGACAAAGTGTCATTCTGGTTTGTCTGTCTCTTTGCCTGTCTGTCCTTTCAATTTTCTTTTCTTTGCTCATCTTATTTCTTCTACTTCACGTGCTCATGCTCTTAGTCAATAGTTCTGTGACAATATATAGCCAAACAGAACGGCATGGTAAACCTGGCGCAGAGAGGGAGAAGAGCCTGTCCGCTTTGTTGAGCAGGACTGGGACGTGAGGGTTTTGGTGGTTGTTTGGGCTTTTTTTTTTTTTTTTTTTTGGGGGGGGAATGTTTGGGCATTTTGCCGCTTTGTTGAGCAGAACTGGGTCGTGAGCAGGGATGAGCCTGGCCGGAGTGCCCGGTCCCAGCGTATTAAAAAATTGATGGTTTTTTCTTTCTTTAAAAAAAAGAACGTAAGGCTCAGCGGCCACAGGAAAGGGTGGAGAAGGTCAGACCGCTCTTCCTCCGAAGATGGCGTTCGCACTACTCGGCTATTTTGGTTACCTTTGACAGCCGCAGCTCCTCATTGATGTTCTCTCTTTCTGAGCGAATATGCTATTGTTTAAACGTTAGCCCCTAACCTAATGCGGTCGCAGTGTTGGTTGGCTTGATGGTAGTGAGGAGGCCAAGTTGAGATCTCCAGCTGGCAGAGCAGCATTGGCTTCCGTTTGTAGAAAATTCGCCAGTGGCCAGCCAGTGTGCTTGTCATCATCGCCATTGCCATCGCCACTTGGGCACAGCGTCGACGGTGGAGGGACAGCCGTTTGGCTGCAAACCGGTTTCCAGATTCGTTTTTCTAGAAAGCAAACATGCTAGGAAGAGCTGTCTTGAGGCGATCTGCGACTGTGTTCGGGACAGCATGGCGTTATGCTCAAGGTAGCGGCAGGAATGCCTCTGCGATTGCAATGACCGCTGCCGTGGCTGGTGAGTCATTCCCTGTTCTGCGGGCCGCCCAGAGGGTACCCTTTGCATCAGCTTCTGTGTTGGCGAGGGGCTACTCGACGAGTTTGAACATCCATCGCAATACTCCTGAGAATAATCCAAAGGTGGGCTTCGAGTTCACGGAGGCGAACATGGAAAAGGTAAAGGAAATACTTTCGCATTACCCCTCCAACTACAAGCAGTCAGGTGTCATCCCACTTCTGGACTTGGCTCAGCAGCAGCATGGTGGTTGGTTGTCCATCTCTGCCATGAACAAGGTTGCAGACATTCTTGGTGTGCCATACATTCGTGTCTATGAAGTGGCAACCTTTTACTCCATGTTCAATCGGCAAAAGGTTGGAAAATATCATATCCATGTGTGTGGGACAACACCATGTATGGTCAGAGGCTCACGAAGCATTGAATTGGCCATTCTTGAACACCTTGGAGTAAAACGCAACGAGGTCACTCCAGATGGCATGTTCTCAGTTGGAGAGATGGAGTGCATGGGATGCTGCGTCAATGCGCCCATGATTGCTGTTGCTGACTACAGCAACGGTGTTGAGGGGTATAGCTACAACTACTATGAAGACTTGACACCGGAGAGTGCAGTTAAGATCTTGGAAATGCTGAAGCGTGGGGAGAAGCCCAAGGTTGGAACCCAAAACCCGAAGCGTGTTAATGCAGAGCCAGAAGGTGGGAGGACCACACTAACGACGACTCCAAGTGGACCATACTGTCGAGACCTGGATGCTGCAACAGTATAAGAGTGATACATGAGGGACATTTTTCTCTTTCTCTTGTAGTGCTTGAATTCCTTGCTTAATACGTGTGTGTGTGTGTGGGTATGGGTGTGTGCATGTGAATGCGTTTTGGTGTGTTTGTTTGTGTGTGTGTGTGTGTGTGTGTGTGTGTGTGTGTGTGCTGCTGGGAGTTTGTCTGCTGTGTTTGTATACACGTATTGCGTATTTGCATGGGTGCTGTAGGCAACTGCTCACTCGCTGGACATCACGGACAGTATTATTCGTTTTTTTGCAAAGAAATTGGCTGGAGGCTAGTAGATATGTTTTTCATCAGCTCCGTGATTCAGTTCTTATAGGCGTCATTAGTTGACGGTGTGGGCTGTATATGTATTGTGCTGTCAGGACTGTCCAAGGAGGGCTCTGTGTTGTTCCCTGAACTCACATTTATTCTTTCAGTATTGATTGCTTATCAGGATTCGGGAGTGTTGTTGTGGCCTTCCCTTTTATATTCAGCTGTTGAGCTTCTTTGTCCTTTTTGTTCTGCCGCTGGAAGTCATGGATGGATGGATGGGCAAATGGATGGACGGATGGATCTGGGTTGATGATGGACAGATAAACAAGATGGCTAGATGGATTGGGTGCATGGTCCCCAAGATGGGGGGGAAAAAAAAAAAAAAAAAAAAAAAAAAGCACGATCAACTCAGGGTTCGGGCGATGATGTTGGTTGGCTACTTTTTCCTTCTTTTTCGTCTTTTCAAGAGGAGAAAGAAACAGAGACAGAGAGCCGATCAGAGGGAAAGAGAGAGGGAGAACCGGGGAGAGAGAGAGGGAGCGGGGGGGGGAATCTAGAACAGCAATCAAGCTAGAGAAGGAAAACAGAAGAAACAAAAAAAACACAGAGAGATGGAGGGGAGCGCGGGACCGGGGGAGCAGGGGAGCGGGGGAACAGGGGGAAGTGGGCAGGAGAGAGTTGGCCCCGGCCTCCCTCCAATTCCAACCTCACCAAGACGAGTTCGATCATGTTCCCCGCAGATTTCCCGGCACACATCACTGTCGGCCATACCCCCCCCCTCTCCTATCATCTCCCGCGTCTCCCGCCTCTTCCCGCCAATCTCCTCAGCAGGCCCTCTACGATCAAGCTGACAGTGGGGTCGCCTATAAGCCACGTGCACCAGAATGGCACGCGGCTCCTCCCGCCGAGGTCCCGACTGTCACCGCTCGTTCGCGCCAACCCCATGGCCAGCGCTGCCTCGCGCTTGCCGCCCGCGCATGCGGTGGCGGAACCCAAAGGTGGGCGCACGCCAGCCTCCCTGTGTAACCGGTGATCAGCTTCCCGCCGCGGCGGCCTTCATGTACAGGTGGTGATTTCGACTCCTGCCATCGGACGACAGCGCAGCAGAACAGCGAAGCTTCAATGCGCAAGTGGCGGCCTAGCGACACACTGATGTTGACGTCACCTCGCCGCAAGGTGCACCTGACGGCCCCGCCGGCCGTATCTGATAACAGATCCGAGCAGGCGACACGTAAAGGGCCGCTCCTGCGGGACTCTCCAGGTGCGTGGCGCCAAATCCATCGGCTCAGGTCCTCCTCGCCTCGCTCTCTCCGCTCTCCCCTCTCACGACCTCTCCACACGATGGCACCTGAGCTGTCCCACCCGCCCTCTCCCCTTGCCTGTTTTCCTGCCTAAATTCAAGCAGACAGATTTCAGCACGCCCACGTTAATTCCAGAGATTGCCACTCGTTCGAAAATCGACCTGCGGCATGCCTCTCCTGCTATTGCAGCTCTCCCCCAAAAAGGCCAAAAAAATTGTTTTTTTTTAACTTTCCACTGCCCAAAGTTAAGACAAAAAAGAAATTAAAACAATAAAAATAATAATAATAATAATAATAATAATAAAATTATTCTGACTGGTCGCGCGACTCTACTTCCTCGCTCCTTCGTCTGTGACTGCACTACCGGTAGTACGTGCGGTGGTACGTAGGAACTACGATCGGTAGAAAGCAGGAAATACCACCCACTATCGGGGCGACGTCCCACTTGCTCGGACCGAGGGCCTCGCTCCACTATTCTACCCACACGCACTAAAGAGAAAAAGTACAGCGGGTCCTTCGGGACATCCGTTAAAATTGGAACGATACAGAGAAGATTTTTTCTTTTTCTTTTTTTAAAAGCTACAAGTGGACCCCGCCACGGCTACGCCGTGGCGTACAGCAACACTCGCTGATGGCGTCTCATTTTTCTTTCACGTCTCTCTCTCTCTCTCTCTCTCTCTCTCTCTCTCTCTCTCTCTCTCTCTCTCTCTCTCTTTGTTTCTTCCCATGTTGTGCTTGGCGGGCATCGGTGATTGTCGTCTGCTCTCTCTCTCTTTCTCTCTCTCTCTCTCTCTCTCTCTCTCTCTCT